AGGAGCTCTGGTCTCGTCCCAGCCCCTACCTCAACTTGCTTTGTGATTTGGTCACCCTGTCACTTCCCCTCTCCGAGCCTCAGTCAGGCCAGACGATGCCTTAGGGCCCCTTCCAGCTCTAGCATTCTGTGGGCCTGCACGGAGCCTCCTGGGGAAGAGATCTCAGTCTGATATTCATGTATCCTTTCCAGATCCCTCAGCAGTAAAAGCAAAAAGAAAACAGTCACATATTGGAATGTGATCATAAAAGCAATGCCCTCTACCCCTGTCTGTGAAGAAGGCGGAGCAAAATGCCCCTGTGCGATCTTCGCATGAACAACGAGAACTCTGGACACACTTTCCCTTCTGCGTTCTGCGGACTGCACACAGCCCTGTGTGTGTGGAGAGGTCCTGGCAGGCCTGTCCCCGCACTGGGTCACGTCTCCTCTTAAGGCACTGGGCAGTAACTGTGCTGTGACTCTAGGTGGTTGGGAGAGTGCAGATGGACAGAAGGCGTTGAAGCCACGAGGGGCAGTTTGCAAAGAGGATGCCAGGCTTCTCCTGGGGCTCAAGAAGTAAACACAGATTCTCAAGGCTTTCCCTTGGACATGGTCCACAGCTCCAGAAGCCAGACATGACCCACACAAGGCTGAAACCATGGGGAAGAACTGGCCCAAACCTAATTTTTAAATGCAGCCCTGCAGAAGGGTGAGGTTGGGTCCTGGGAGCAGAGTGACCCCAACAGCCTCCCGGCGCCCCCTGCCCCCCTGCCCCACAGTACCATAATCTTACAGAAAAGAGGCCAACTGCTTAAAACTGTACCTGTACAGAGATGCCACCACACTCAGTGGGGAATCCCATTATAATTTATATATATGTGCATATTTATATATTTTTAAAAAGTCTTCCAGAAAGAACAATCGAAAGCTATTGGGAGAAGAAAGACAAGACAACATGTAACACTTTCCCAGCTATCACTCATCCTGGAGTTTCTGTTCCTGGGGTTTAAAACTCTTGAGTTTAAAAGCGCCGATATGAATCCTTTGAAATAATATCACTGACCAACTGAAATACATACACAAGGTGGCACGCTGATGGCAGGCAGCCCTTCCCACTGGCGCACTTCCTGAGCTCACGAAGGTGAAGGTGCTGTGGAGAAATGACGGGGCAGGGGTGTCGGCTACCAAGCCCGAGCGGCGAGCAGCCCGAGTTCACCCACGGCTGGTGTGCGGGCGGGTGCTCCAGGCCTCCCTCAGAAGTTCTGTTGCCGCCGCTTCTTAGCCTCAATGGCGTCCAGGATCGGCTGCCTCTTGGACTGGTACTTCTGCCGGATCTCTTCAATCTCTTGCTCCATCATGGGGTCGAGGGCCAGGAGCCTCTTCTGAAGGTCCTCCACTGTCCAACTCTTAAGCTAGAAGAAGTGGAAAGTACGGTCGTGACAAAGCCCAGGTCAGCGCAGAACAGCCGAGACGCCGAGCCTGTCCGGGCACCCAGAAGGGAAGGGTCTTCCCAGAGTCTGGGGTGGCAGTGGTTGGAAAGTGACAATTCATTCACTAACGGCATGCCCCAAGCTCTGTGAAGATAATTTATCCCTGGACAAGTTCTCAGCGCTAATCTCTTTGATTTACTCCGCCTTGACCAAGAACTTAACCAATAATACTTTCACCCCTATCTTTTCAATGAATTACATATCGATGCATTGTTAGGGCATTAAAATAACAGCCACTTGGGGTACGCAAAATAATGCTTGCCCCTAATTCTTGTCCTACCCTTCAGATGAGCCTCTGGATGGTGACCGTGTCTCTTTCTGGGAGAGAGACACCAGGGAGAGTGGATGCTCACTGAGGAGCAGATGCTCCCCCGCCCCCGAAATGTCTTAGGCACTGCCATAGTGATCATCATTAACACTTATCAGGTGCTAATCATATACCAGGCACCCCTCGAAGTGCTTCACACACAAGTGTCTTAAGAATAGAGACACAAGCCTTGGGCGTGGAGTGGCAGGGATAGTTGGAAACCTCTGAGATTAAGTTTCCATCATCCAGAGGGAACAACAAGACTTAATATATAAAGGAATAATAAAAGCTAGTACTTATATAGTGCTTTCTATGTGCCAACCGCTCCGTGCTCTCCATACACCCATTCGTTTAATCCTGGCAACAACCCTATGATGTGCATATACTATCATCCCCATGTTATAGATGAACAAGCCAAGGAAGAAGGCGGGGAAGTAACTTGCCCAGTGTCTCGTGGCAAGTAAGTGGCAGAATCAATATTCAGACCCAGGCGGTGAGGCTCCAGACTTCCCGCTCTTAACTGGTATCAGAGAAGAGCAGGCTCGCAAAGCCCAGTTTTGAGAACCAACTCCATCTGTAGTTCAAACATGGCTCTGCCTCTTGCAAATGCTGAGACTCTGGCAAGTCACCTATCTCTCTCCAGGTGGTTCTCCCCTGTGGAAATGGGACACCCATGCCTCATCGGGCTTAACATAAGAATTAAATGTGACCGTGGCTGTAAAGATGTTGGCACAGTGCCTGGTGCACCGTGTGCTTAAAGCAGGCGGTGCACGTCACAACCCTCTCTCTATATACCAGAGCCCGGGAGTGTGCTCATGTCCGCCCTGTGTCCGCCGCTGTGGGGTAAGTGGTTTCACTGCTGTATGTACGGAGTGTCACTGAGTCCAAGCAAGGCCGGTCCTGGCTGGCAGGGGTGGGAATGAAAGCCCCCATTATCCACAGCAGGTGGTGATTAATTCTGTGCATTTACAACCAGTCTAATAGGTGCAGTGTTCCAAGAACTCAAAGGCTCACTCAAGTCTTCGGAGAGATTTATGGAATCACTGTATCCTCCAGCTCCTTCCTGAGGCCTCAACAGGGAAGCGGGTGTAAGAAGGGGGTGAAGGAGCCTCTTTCTGGCCACCCTTCCTTTCCAGGGTGGGGTGCGACCGAGAGGGAAGGACTACCATGGCCTCTCCAGGAACAGTTTAGTGCCCTGTCGCCACAGGAATTTGCCTTGGCCTGCTTCAGGGAGGTGGTCTGAGAAGCAAGAAAAGCCTAACAGTTCAAGACGAAAGGCTCTTTGTGAGGTGGGAATGCAGAGCCGAGAGGGGGGTGGATGCTGGAAAGCTGCGCTCATAAAACCACATCTTGTTTCCAGCCTGTGGTTTCAGACCAGCTGGAGTCTGGGGACTCTCCAGAGAGCAATGCTCGCCTCATTTTTAGGCTTTTCAGTTCCTCCTCTGAAAAGAAACTGCCCAAAACCTAATACTGAGTGTTACTGGTAGCTGGGGTATTAATCTTTAGGATCCCAGATGGTTCGTCTCTAGTGGCTGTGCAACCCCGGACAAGTGACCTCACTTCTGAGCCTCAGTGGCCTCCCCTGGAGAAGAGACCCCGGTTCCGCCATTCTTGGGCTCTCACGAGGATCAGGTGGGTTAACAGGTATGACGTTCTCAGCGCGGAACTTCACACGGTGTGCAATTCGCATAAACTGTAGTTATCACCACAGTTGTTAATAACTGCTGTTGTTGCTATTAATACTATTGTTATTAATATTTTGAAAAGTCTCTAATGAATCGCCCATAAACAAAATGTTCCTATACCTCTGATCCAAGTCAGAATCAAACAAGTAAAACGAAAATATTCTACTCTATTTCAGGCTAACAATACCGAAGGGTCAGCATTTTCCCACATCTGTTAACTTATTTATAGTTTAACAAAATATTTTTCATCCATCCAACCATCAAATATGCACTGAACACCTACCATGGGCCAGGCACTGCCCAAGGCACACAGGATAAAAAAAAAACAAAAACCAAAAACCAAAAATCACTGCCCTTGTGAAGCTTATTACATTTTAGTGAGGCGAGACAGACACCTGAGAATGAACTCAATAAATCAGAAGATTACTCTCATGCAAGAGAGTGAAAGGGGAAAGGAAAGAAAAACCTTAGCGAAGGAAGGGGAGCTGGGAGTTGGTAGACTCACTCTTCATCATCCATCAGGACAAAGCGTCCACTATGAAGACCTCAAGGTCAGGGAGGCGGCCCTGGCTTTCCAGCTTGTTCAGCAGCTTCAGACCAGCCCCTCCTGCCCGCCCCCCAGGCCTCCGTCTCCCCCCATGTAAGAGAGGGCTGCCGAATGACCTCAGGTCTTGTTAGACTCAGTGGTTCTCTCCGTAGGACCCATGGATCGCGAGCGTCGGAATCACGTGTTAAAGGGCTGTGCGCGACCTGCTCACACCCGCTCTCCAGGTGAGGGTTCTGCTCACTGAAGGAGCTGCGCGAGTGTCTCCTGCGGCCCCTCCAGTCTGCCACGCACGGTTCTACGTCCTCTTCCTCGTTTTTGTCAGAGCAAAACTCGCACACAGTTACTGCTGTCGCCAGTCAAGGCTTCTCAGTATCCAATTTCTATGCAGCCCTTCTGCCCTCCGTCTAATCTGGAAACAACAAGCACCCCTGCTTTACCACCGCCACCTTCGGACTAATTTACTTGCCCTAAGGCTTTGGGCTTAAGTTACACCTGACCCATTAGAACACAGCCGGCCAGTCACCGCTAATGCCTCGGTCACACTCCAGATATGGATTTTTCTGAAAACGAGCTCAGAGAATGGTTCCGTGGTGCCAAAAGTAGCCTCTCACCTTCCTGGTCCTTGGTGGCAAAAATACACTTCCAACGGATATCTTGCAGTGAAGTACCTGTGGTTCTCTGGTTTTGCTAGCCAGCTTGCCGAAGGAGCCAACCCTGGCCCGGCCGTGCAGGGAGCTTGAGCTGTTCACAGTAGTGAAGGAAGTACCACCTTTCGGGACCTTATTTGTCCCCTGGCATTTACACATCCTCTCTGTACTGTGACCCCCACACGTACGGCTCCACAGCAGCATTCTCTTCTGAACACCAGGCTCACACATGCAGGGGCAGATCCTACTTTACATGTCAGCCCCAGATCAGCTCATGGAAATCCAGCACCTTAATCCGACCAAAACAAAACTCTCGAGTCCCACCCTTCCCTCACCCCCAAACCTGTTCTCCTCACATCCTGGCCTTCCCCATCTCAGGAGGGGCACCACCATCCTGCCAGGCATAGAATCATCCCTGATTCTTCCTTCCCCTCACCACCCCCTGCCCACATCCCATCCTTCGATCTCATCTCTAAAACGTGGGAGTAACTCAAATCCAACCCCTCAGCCCAGGCCACCAGCATTTCACGGCGACAAGCATAATTTAAAATACAGAAAGGAACCAGATCACATCCCCCTCTGTTTCCTGCTGCACTTAGAATAAAATCCAACAACACACCAGGGCTACAAAGGCCTTCCATCTCTGGCCCCACGGGCCCCTCGAGCTTCATCACCTACCACTCTCCCCTTTGCTCAGGACCCTCTAGCCACCCTTTACTTCAAATCCTCAAACAAGCCACACTTTTTCCGGCCCCAAGGGCTACCCAGTGACTGATCCTTCTGCCCAGATGGCTCGTCCCCCGTTCTTCCTTATCCTTTAGGCCTTAGCTCACAGATCAACCCCTCAGGGAATGTGAGCAAGCCTTCCCTGAGCATCTTCTCTAGAAAGATCACTCACCTCCCCTCATTCTCGATCTCAGTCCCTACTATACTTCCTTCAAAATGATCATGGCACCTTGTAATCAATCATTCTTATTTCTTTTCTTTTACTTGTTGTGTCTCTTACTAGGACGAAAGTTCTATGAGGGCAGTGACTTTATCTTGTTCACTACACTACGCATTATATTGGTTGAGGGAATGAATAATTTGCCCTTCATTTCCAGTCAAATAATAACGGAAGCCACTGAAACCAAGAAGCAAGCTTCCCCAAGCACCACCACGTGCAGGGCTCTGGGTAAGGTGCTGAGGGGACCCAGGGAGTGAGTCCTGCCTTCAAAGAGCTTCTATTCCTCTCAACATTCTTTTGAAATTGAAGGAAGTCTGCTCCCTTGATTCCCATTTCTGTGTGTGATACTGACTGATTAAGAAACAGGTCTCCAACCCTGGCTTAGTCACCTCTAAAAGGCCTGTCCACTTTAATTTTTTATTCTGACAAAAAAGAACTACTACTTTGGAAAGAACGAGATGATCAGAAGACAACGTGATCCTTCTGGACAAGACAAAATGCCAAGCCCAGAGCCACAGGCTCCCTAATGAAGAAGGTGGGTTATGCTGAAGAGAATAGACCAAGCACAGGGATTTTCTGCCCTCTTCCTGACAGAGGTCGCAGAAAGGAGGAGAAACTAAACTAAGCCCTTAACCATGGTTATTTAGAATCCCCTGACCACCTGGATGCTAATCAACACATCAGCCTTGAGTAGATGGACACGGATGGGCTCAATCTGACCATGCTGATGTCGTGCGGCTAGACACACTCTCTAACGAACACCTCGACCCCACTCACCATTACCTTTCAC